CTGCTGGGTTGAGCAGAGGGACTTTGTGTGCGCTGCAGGATTTTAAGCCATGATGGTGTAGTGTGTTACTAATGGTAACCGTTGAGACTGCGGTCCCAGCTCTCTTCAGGTCATTGACCAGGTCCTCCCGTGTAGTTCTAAGCTGATCCCTCACCTTTCTCAGGATCATTGATACTCCATGAGGCGAGCTCTTGTATGGAGCCCCAGTCTGAGAAAGACTGACAGTCATGTTGAATTTCTTCCATTTTCTAATAATTGCACCAACAGTTGTTGCCTTCTCACCAAGCTGTTTGCCTATTGTCCTGTAGCCCATCCCAGCCTTGTGCAGGTCTACAATTTTGTCCCTAGTGTCCTTAAACAGCTCTTTGGTCTTGCTCATAGTGTAGAAGCTGGAGTCTGATAGATTGAGTGTGTGGACAGGTGTCTTTTATACAGGTAACGAGTTCAAACAGGTGCAATTAATACAGGCAATGAGTGGAGGATAGGAGGGCTTCTTAAAGACAAACTAACAGGTCTGTGAGAGCCAGAATTCTTGCTGGTTGGTAGGTGATCAAATACTTATTTCATGCAATAAAATGGAAATAAATTATTTAAAAATCTAACAATGTGATTTCCCCTAAAAATGGGAAAAGTCAAAAGTGACTTTCTTCAGTGGAGGACAGGAGGGCTTCTTAAAGACACCACACACTATATACAGTGCCTTGCGAAAGTATTCGGCCCCCTTGAACTTTGCAACCTTTTGCCACATTTCAGGCTTCAAACAAAGATATAAAACTGTAATTTTTTGTGAAGAATCAACAACAAGTGGGACACAATCATGAAGTGGAACGAAATTTATTGGATATTTCAAACGTTTTTAACAAATAAAAAACTGAAAAATTGGGCGTGCAAAATTATTCAGCCCCTTTACTTTCAGTGCAGCAAACTCTCTCCAGAAGTTCAGTGAGGATCTCTGAATGATCCAATGTTGACCTAAATGACTAATGATGATAAAGAGAATCCCCCTGTGTGTAATCAAGTCTCCGTATAAATGCACCTGCACTGTAATAGTCTCAGAGGTCCGTTTAAAGCGCAGAGAGCATCATGAAGAACAAGGAACACACCAGGCAGATCTGAGATACTGTTGTGGAGAAGTTTAAAGCCGGATTTGGATACAAAAAAGATTTCCCAAGCTTTAAACATCCCAAGGAGCACTGTGCAAGCGATAATATTGAAATGGAAGAAGTTTCAGACCACTGCAAATTTACCAAGACCTGGCCGTCCCTCTAAACTTTCAGCTCATACAAGGAGAAGACTGATCAGAGATGCAGCCAAGAGGCCCATGATCACTCTGGATGAACTGCAGAGATCTACAGCGGAGGTGGGAGACTCTGTCCATAGGACAACAATCAGTCGTATACTGCACAAATCTGGCCTTTATGGAAGAGTGGCAAGAAGAAAGCCATTTCTTAAAGATATCCATAAAAAAGTGTCGTTTAAAGTTTGCCACAAGCCACCCGGGGGACACACCAAACATGTGGAAGAAGGTGCTCTGGTCAGATGAAACCAAAATCGAACCTTTTGGCAACAATGCAAAACGTTATGTTTGGCGTAAAAGCAACACAGCTCATCACCCTGAACACACCATCCCCACTGTCAAACATGGTGGTGGCAGCATCATGGTTTGGGCCTGCTTTTCTTCAGCAGGGACAGGGAAGATGGTTAAAATTGATGGGAAGATGGATGGAGCCAAATACAGGACCATTCTGGAAGGAAACCTGATGGAGTCTGCAAAAGACCTGAGACTGGGACGGAGATTTGTCTTCCAACAAGACAATGATCCAAAACATAAAGCAAAATCTACAATGGAATGGTTCACAAATAAACATATCCAGGTGTTAGAATGGCCAAGTCAAAGTCCAGACCTGAATCCAATCGAGAATCTGTGGAAAGAACTGAAAACTGCTGTTCACAAACGCTCTCCATCCAACCTCACTGAGCTCAAGCTGTTTTGCAAGGAGGAATGGGCAAAAATTTCAGTCTCTCGATGTGCAAAACTGATAGACATACCCCAAGCGACTTACAGCTGTAATCGCAGCAAAAGGTGGCGCTACAAAGTATTAACTTAAGGGGGCTGAATAATTTTGCACGCCCAATTTTTCAGTTTTTTATTTGTTAAAAAAGTTTGAAATATCCAATAAATTTCGTTCCACTTCATGATTGTGTCCCACTTGTTGTTGATTCTTCACAAAAAATTACAGTTTTATATCTTTATGTTTGAAGCCTGAAATGTGGCAAAAGGTTGCAAAGTTCAAGGGGGCCGAATACTTTCGCAAGGCACTGTAAATAAAAAATTCCCCACTCGCCCCACTTTTTGGAGCGGTCTTATTCCTTTCTTCATGTTGTTCTCCTGTGAGAGCCAGAATTCTTGCTGGTTGGTAGGTGATTAAATACTTATTTCATGCAATAAAATGGAAATAAATTATTTTAAAATCTAACAATGTGAATTACTGGAATTTTTTTTGTAGATTCTGTCTCTCACAGTTGAGGTGTACCTACGATGAAAATTACAGAATTATCCATTCTCTGTAAGTGGGAAAACTTGAAAACAACTCACACTTTTAAGATCAACTTTATTTTATTCATGTTGTACCAAGAACAGAATCGATTATTATGTATAACAAGTAACATCTTCAACTACAACCCCAAAATAAACACTCACTTCAATTCTGATGCCTGCAACACATTGCACGCAAAGTTGGGATAGTTGCATTTCGGGGGTAATGAGGTGAAACAATGAAATGATGATTCCATTTGAAACAGGTGATGTCAACAGGTGACTGCAATCATGATTTGATACAAAGGGGACTTTTAGGAGCAAAGATGGGCCAAGGACCGGCAGTTTGCCAACATATGCATGAGAAAATTATTGAAATGTTTAAAATCAATGTTCTTCAAAGAAAGATAGGAAGGGGTTTGGATATGTCACCCTCTCCGGTGCAGAACATCATTAAAAGACTCAAGGAATCTGGAGGGATTTCAGTGTATAAAGGACACAAGCCTAAGCTGGAGGACGGTGCTCTCCAATCCCTCAGACGGCACTACATCAAGAATTGTCAGGTTTGCCCGGCGGCACCTGCCTCTCCTTCTTTCATTCACTCCCCTGCCAGTTCTTTCTCTGTCTTTAGGCCCCATATGTGTTATCGCTTTGTTTTTGTGCCAAGTACGCCTGCTATATTTTCTGTGTTTTTCTCGAGTCTCTATTCCTGCCCCGCCGTATCTGTTTTTCCTCCTCTCCGGACCTCTCCTCTGGACCCTGGATTCACTCAGCTCTACCAGCCACCGCCTCACAGGTCGATGCACAGTCCCCATTTAACCTGTTGTTTCCATACTTCTGTGTTCTCAGCCATCATCGCCTCACCTCGACCAGCACGGGAGTGATCCCTCCATTCGCAGCCCGGTCCATCATCATCCATCTCCTCACTGTGTTTCTACTGCCGCTGATCGACACCCGGTCATCTCGTACCACATTCCTCCTGTATACCGTATATATATATCTATATATATATATATACGAATATAGATATATATATTTCACTATTCTTGCACTGTAAATAAACCTCACTGCTTGCACCGAAGTCAGCTACCTGGGTTTGTTACATATTTCGCTCACTCATTTTGTGTTCGAGCATTCCTAACAAGAATCGTCACTCTTCTATAAGCGATATAACCACATGGGCTCAGGATTACTTTGGCACACCTGTGTCAGACACTACAATACATAGTTATATCCATAAATGCCGCTTAAAACTCTACTATGCCAAAAGGAAGCTCTATGTCAACACTGTCCAGCAGCGCAGTCAACTGTTCTGGGCTCGGACGCATCTGGGATGGACCATCACAAGGTGAAAACATGTATTGTGGAATGGACGCCGTATGCTCCAGACCAAAGGCGTAAAGGACCATCCAGACTGTTACCAGGAACAAGTCCAGAAGCCAGGGACTGTCATGGTCTTGGTTGTGTCAGTGCCCTTGGCAAAGGTAACTTATACTTCTGTGATGGCTCCATTAATGCTGAAAAATACATAGAGATGTTGGAGCAACATATGCTGCCTTCAAGAAAACATCTTTTCCAGGGATGCCCATACATATTTCAACAAGACAATGCAAAACCTCATAGTGAACACATTACCAAGGCCTGGTTTTTGACTGCGCACCTTAAGACTTGTTTGCAAGAAGAATGGGACAAAATGACACCTGGCACATTTAATCACTTGGTGTCCTCAGTCCCTAAATGTCTTTTAAGAGTTGTGAAAAGAAACAGAAACATCACACCATGGTAAATGTTTTACTGTCCCAACTTTTATTGGAATGTGTTGCAGGGATCAGAATTGAAATTAGGGCTTTGAACAAAGAATAGAATTGGTGAGGTATCACATGAAATAATGTGCTGGTGTATTGTCTTCAATGTAATACAGGGCACAGATGATTTAAACATCACCATTTTCAGTTTTAATTTAGATTTTACAAACTGCCAGAACTTTTGTAATTTGGTATTGTAACATTTAATCATGTATTCTGATATGTTGGCTGTATTTTATGTCCATGTCTACATGATGAAGTGGCTCTAACGACTGCTGCACCAAAACAGAGAAAATGTCTAATCCTCCTATTGAAAAATTTTACAGCCACAGGCCCAGAAAATGCTAAGTACCTACTCTCCTTTTTGAGAACTGAGAAGACCCACTGGCTGCTATTGCTGGGAGGGATAATCTTTGTCTGTAGTCCAGTAGGAGGGGTGGAAAAGAGATTACATGAGCCATTTAACCTAGCTGTATTGCTCATAAGATCATGAAGATGGGACCTGCGTGCACTCCTCTGTTTGTGTGGATATGGAGGTTAAATAATGACAGCACTACGGCACATCGACATCTAAGAGTGAAACAAATGCAGAACAGTTTTGGAGAGCGATTGACAACACAAGTCTGTAAGACAAGTTGTGTTTTAGGATTTAGGTCATTTAGGCTTGTTATCTTCAAAGCATCTCACACTTAGTTTCAGCAATTTGTATCCCTTAGTGCTCCGAGAGCTTTCTTAGTTGAGTTTCTTTGACCGATTGTAGTTTGGTTCACATGGTCCATATCAAGAAAAAAGTTATAAAGCTTTTTACATAGCTTTCCAGGTTTTGGTTTGTTTTATATTCACACTGACTTATTACTAGCAAAGAGCAATAACAGGAAAGATGTATGACAGACTGACAAGTACCACATTCGTTGGACAGTTTTGGTGATAATGCTTCCATCAGCAACTGATCGATAGCAATGCTGCATTTAAGAATATCAGATCTAAGGATTTCTTTTGGCTGAAATTACAACTGGATCACTAACTGAAAAGTGATATGAAAGCCACACATGGGCATGACCTGTTAAATTTCATGTGTTGTCTCACTTTCTCAAAGAACAGCTAAGACAACAATGCATGCCAATTGTCATTTGAACACAAACTAAGTCAGGATGTTTTGTTCCTGTGCTTAAGTTTAATGTTAGTTTGCAGTTTCCTCACTAATTTTATCAATAATAAACCACATTTTCACTTGTGTGACTGTGTGCATATGTTGTTTGAGAATGCTGCAGCCATACGTGGTTTCCTGGTGGTGACGGTGGTGCGTGGTGAGGGCGGCCCAGTGCCAGCACTGTTATATGCCAGCACAGCGACATGGTATCGAGTGCTAGGTCGAAGTCCAGACACTCTAGCTGTTGTTTCTAATCCTGCTGTCCTCACTCGGTCTGCTGCTGCTTCCCGTTCATGCTGTCGCCAGTACCGGATCTGAGGACGCACATTTACAAAACAAATTGAAAACACTGTGTATGAATTGTGCTGTACCAGTTTATTTAATATAGTTTTAACATCACATAGCCTATAAATTCAGGACTTGATCTTCATACACAGCAACAGACACATTGAATACATGGCCAAAACTATTGACACCCCTGCATTTCTGTCAGATAACACACCATTTCTCCCAGAAAACAGCCGTATCAAATTATTTGGTATTCTAATGTTTATTTTTTTTAGTTTGCATTGGAACAACACAAAAAAGCAGAGAAAAAAGCCAAATCTGATACATTCCACACAGAACTCCAAATATGGACTGAACAGAATTAGTGATACCGTTTCAAAATCATCAGAAATCATTGTATTTCAAGCATGCTATGCTTCTTTAATTTGTCATGAAACTCACCTGTAGCAACCAACAGGTTCTGGCAAGATAGAAATCAAACTGGCAACCTGTTAGAAAGTCACTTTCAGCTTTTCCCGTTTAGGGGTCGCCACAGCGAATCGTCACACTGACGACTCGAATGTTGACATTTGGCATGTGTTTTACGCTGGATGCCCTTCCTGACACAACCCTGATTTGAACCCGGGCCGCAGTGGCGATAGCGCTGCGCCATAACCACTAGCCTACCGGACACTGGCAACCAGTTAAAATGGAGAAAAGTTGATTCAACCTTTGTGTCGTGTCGACCACACTGAGCATGGAGAAAAGAAAGAAGAGCAAAGAATTGTCTGAGGATTTGAGAACCACAACAGTGGAAAAGCCTGGACAGTCTCAAGGCTCCAAGTCCATCTCCAGAGATCTGGTTGTTCCTGTGTCCACTGTGCACAACATTGTCAAGATGTTTACAGCCCATAACACTGTAGCTAATCTCCCTGGACATGGACGAAAGAGAAAAACAGATGACAGATTGCAACGAAGGATTGTTGGAATGGTGGATAAAGAACCTCAGTCCAACTTCCAAACAAATTCATGCTGACCTGCAGGCACAGGGTGCAACAGTGTCAGCTCGCACTATCAGTCGCCATCTGAATGACGAGGGACGCTATGGTAATAAGAGACCCAGGGGAACCAACTGCTGACAAAAAAACATAAAAAGCCAGACTAGAGTCTGCCAAAACTTACCTGAGGAAGCCACAGTCCTTCTGGGAGAACGGCCTGTGGACAAATGAGACTAAAATAGAGCTTTTTGGTTGAGCATATTGTTATACTGTTTTCAGAAAATGAAATGAGACCTTCAAAGAAAAGAACACAGTCCTTACAGTCAAACACAGTGGAGGTTCACTGATGTTTTGGGGTTGCTTTGCTGCTTCCGGCACTGGGTGTCTTGACTGTGTGTATGGCATTATGAAACCTGAAGACTACCAATGAATTCTAGGGTGAAATGTAGGGCCCAGGGTCAGAGAGTTGGGTCTCTGTCAGAGGCCATGGGTCTTACAGCAGGACAATGACCCAAAGCAGACTTCAAACAACACCAGAAATGGTTTCAAGCAATGTGTTGAACAGCTCTGAAGTGGCCAGCAATGAGTCCAGATCTAAATCCCATAGAGCACCTGTGGAGAGATCTCAAACAGCAGCTGGAAGAAGGAACCCTTCAAATCTGAGAGACCTGGAGCAGCTGGCAAAAGAACAGTGGTCCAAAATTCCAGTAGAGAGGTGGAAGAAACTCAGTGATGGTTACAGGAAGTGACTGATCTCAGTTATTTTGATCAGAGGGTGTGGTACCAAATATTAAGTCGAGGGTGCCAATAATTCTGTCCAGTCCATAGTTGGAGTTCTGTGTGGAATGGATCAGATTAGGCTTTTTTCCTGCTTTTTTGTGTTGTTCCAATGCAAACAAAAGAAATACATTTGAGAATACCAAAGAATTTGTGATTGCAACAATTTTCTGGGAGAAATGGTACGTTATCTGACAGAAATGCAGGGGTGTCAATAGTTTTGGCCATGACTGTGTATCAGTATTTGCTATTTGTTTTCTGTAGTTCTAGTGGCTGTCTAATGATGTCATCCACCTTCATCAATAAGAGAAAATGAAAATCCTTATCTCACTTTTATCAGCAGGTAATAAATGCTTCAAGCTGTTATCAGCCATCAAAATACTAATAAAGTGATACATTTGTAATGAGCTTGGGGAATAACGCAATCAAAAAACTGATAAAGTAAGTTTGACCTGTGGCAGCTTGCAGGACTGAGAACAGCTAATAAAATGATTAGAACTGAACGGTAGGTCAGGGTCTGTGTACAAATAAACTGCTCCTAAAGAGCACTGCAGTAATGGCATTTGAGAGTATTTTTGCCTCACGTTACCTCAATGAAAAACACAGATGCTCAGTAATAAATTCCGATAAAAAACAAACAGGGGTCCAGCCCTGGGGAGTATTCTTTATATGTTGCTAAACAGATCCAAGATCAAATGAGCAACCCTGAATTTTGTAATGCCAGCTAAGGTTATCTGTGTTGCGGATTAGAAAAGCTGGATTCAATCATGCAAGACCAGTGTGTGCTGTCGTGGTCAATGACAAGACTATATATAAAAAATTCCCCACTCTCCCCACTTTTTGGAGCGGTCTCTGGACCATACTACACCTTGCCCTTCCAGCCTCCACCAGCCAGGTCGGTACACAGTCCAACTCCTTTCTCCACTCACAATCATCATCTACTCTGTCACCTCAGCCATACCACCACCACCACCGGCCAGCCAGTGAGTGACCCTTATGTCTGCAGCCTGTATTGACTATTCTCTGTGCTGGTCAACACCCGGTTCTACTAACATCCCCCTTTATATTGTATATATCATTCACACTGCACTTGTTTTTATCTTGTACAGCACTTTATTAAATCCGTTTACACCGAAGTCAGTCCTCTGGGTTCATTTTTCTTCATGCACCCTCATCTCCCTGTGGGGGAGTGATCGTAACATAAGCGTCTCAGTACTGTCTGTTTACTTTAAACTCATGTCTTATTATAATCGCTTCAATGCCACTTCCTGCTCCGAGACCCTTTAAATCTGTAACGTTATCTTGTTTACACTGAATAAGCCTGAGAACTATCCCGCTGCTGAGCAGGGGCCTATTGCGCAAAACTAGGATAAGGGATTAAGCCGGGATATCTTGGTGATCCTGGCTCAACTTATCCGTGATCCGGTTGCACTAAAGCTGGATTAGATTGCGGTAGGATGTTATGGTATAGATTAACATGGAGATTTAGTCTGTGGAGCTAGCCTGCTCCAGACCAGGCTAAGTTCCAGGATTTATTTAATCTCATCCCTTATGTCAGTCAGCAGTCACCACAAACGGAAACCAATAGTTATTTCACTGCACACTATACATTGTTATACAGAGGTAGAATTGTCTTATTCATTTGAATGGTGTGTAACTTTCAAAATAAAGCTACATATTTCAAAAGTATGAAGTTGAGAAAATGTCTGAATAGAAGCATGGATGTTCTCGAGGAGCTGAACATGAAATAGCTGAAAGCATGCTGAAGGAGAATTTTTTCATTCATTTGAATGGGGCAGAATTTTCAGAATAAAGCTAAATAGCCTCAACATGGACAAGACGAAGGAGATGATAGTGGACATGAGGAAGGAGAGGAGAAGTCATCGGCCACT